ATTATATTAAGTTTAGTTGGATGTTATGAGTCATATAGTTGGACTTTTGAAATAGGTTACAAAAGAACCCAAGTGCATTTGAGAAGCACTTGTTATTGATGAAAGAAAAACAGAATCAAGCTGCAGGGCCTTTTCCTGTGTCTACTTTCAAAATAAATAACCTTGTTGAGTACCTGTGCTATAATAAATTGTTATTATATTGGTAGGAATTGATATTATTTTGTCAATGTAACTACCTATAAATCTCATCCTGAGGAACAGCAAATTGCCAGAGTCAGCTTGCAAAGTGGTCCAAAATTATATTTTTTACTTCCAGTTTTGCCTTAGTATGGCAGGAGAAATAGGATTTAAGGTACAATATTTTAAATTAAATACTCCTTTGTTATTGTCTTGTCTAACTTTACCCTTCTCTGACAAATCTATTTCACATTTATTTTGGCTTACATTATTAGAGGAATATCAGAAGAGAGGCGTGGGTTTACATTACTTTTCTTATACTTTTGCTGATGCTATGCAACTACATTTCCCTCAGAGTGACTGTTTATCTGACATAATTGGCTACCAGTTGGCAGAGGCAGAGAGGGTTCACCTAGATTAGGAGGTTACTTCCTCTTTTTGTCTGTCTACAAACTTGGAAAAAGGGGGTTTATTTTCCTCCAAATATTTCTTATAAAATAGTGGTAGAAGATGTTCAAACGTAGGAGAACTCTTTAAAAGGCTGTATCTGGTAACCCTTAAACATTTCCATTAATATTTCATCTCATTTTGTGTGTGTGTGTGTGTGTGTGTGTGTGTGTGTGTGTTGTTTTTTTTCAGACAAGGTCTCACTATATATTTTAGGCTGGCTTTGAACTCACTGTGTAGCCCAGGCTGGCCTTGAACTCATGGCAATCTTTCTGCAGCCTCCTCTCACTTTGAGCCCCTTCTACTTTGTAATATATTTTCATGTATGTAGGTGGCTTTAAACCACATGACTAAAACATTTTACACAAACAACTAATCTTTGTCCTCTATGAACTATTTTTTAAAAATTTTCTTTTCGTTGAATAGCTCTTCTCAACAGACTCAAAAATCCTTTTTCTACTTTGATCTGTCTCTGATAATGCTGCTATCTTACTTAAGCCCTTTGGAAACTCATACATGTTTTAATAGCACATTTAAGAATGAAATTGCCTGTTCCTTCCCTCTGTGTGTTGGGTGAAGAAAAAATTTTGCTGCTATTTTTAGATAATATATTGAATGTTCCTGTAGTCATTGCCCTGTACAAAGTAGTTATCGCACACAAGATACAATCTGTTGTACTTAGTGATGTTTATTCTGTTTCAGTCTACTTTAAAATGCTTAATTTCCTGGATTCTGTTCCCCATTACATGTTGCTTTTACACTTTTGGTTATTTTTAACTCTGTGTATGTGTTTTCAGGAAAGATTTTGGGTGAATATTGTAAATGAGAAATCAGAGGCTCAGATTCTTGAGGAATACTTTTATTTCTGTATGCTAAAAGTCTGATTTCTTCTTTCTTTAGGCATTTGTCCTAAACATTGTAAGGTTGCACTCATCTTTGACAGATACTTTCCCACAGTGTCAACTCCCAAAGTGGAAGTTACCTTGCACAACTAAGGTACAGGGAGAGTACAGAGTATGTCCTTATTTGTTTTACTTCTTATGAGGGCTCTTGAGAACCACATACTCAGAATGTTAAATCTAGGCAAGACGATAGGAAACTTATCAAGACTATTAGATTAGTTCCTGGTCCATAAATATGCTCTGCATTTTTACATCTCCATGGTCTTCCTTATTTGGAAGTGCTTGTGCTCTACCAGGCTGTCTTGCACAAATGCATATTTATCCTGTATCACCCCAACCCCTGAATTAATCATTCTCTCTTCAGTGATAGCATAGCATTATAAGAAATGATATGTAATTTTCCCCACCATGCTTTTGAATGCCTTCCAACATATCCATACTATAGTGCTCAGTTTGTATATTTTTCTATGAATCTTATTTACAGCATTTACTTGGAAAGATAAAGTTATATAACTAAGAATTCTTTATATTGGTATTAATATTGTAATGGCATAAATAAGAGAACTGAAGGCCAACTACTTGGAAATGATTTTCATTTATAGTGGTTTTTTTTTTTTTTTTTTTTTTTTTTTTTTTTTTTTTTTTTTTTTTTGGTTTTTCTCTGGTACCGGGAACCGAACTCATGACCTTGCGCTTGCCAGGCAGGCGCTTTTGCCGCTGAGCTAAATCCCCAGCCCCATTTGTAGTGTTTTTGATAGGAAATAAAATCATCCTCACTTTTGGGATTCTCACCCTGGTCACTTAGGAAGAAAATATCTGACAGTTCTGTGTTGAGAAGCGATCATGGTATTTTCAAGAAACATTTTATATATGTAATAGATAGATTATATTTTATATTTGTGATTAACTTTATTCTGCAGATGCCAAAGCTGCCAGCGTATCTGCTTACATAGAGATACTATGTAGGGATTGTGATGGGAGACGATTGATATCTTAATGTCCATAAAAAATGGTTGCTGACATCAACTCTCTCACATCAGAGTATGCAAAATGAAGAAGTGAAATTCATCTTTAAAGATAATATGTAAATTTTAGGATACTAGTTGTATGAATAATGAAAGAATTGGTTAGAAAGTAATCCCATCTCATTCTTATTTTCTAGTCAACTGCTAGTTGGAGCTCCCATGCAGCATCTTGTCTCAAGTTGTAAGATATTTATTTAGTACATAGTAAGTACAGAGCAGGAAACCTGGCCTTTACCTTTTGCTTTTCAATTTAGTACCTTGTCTTATTTTTCTGGTTGCTGAGACAAAATACCTGACAGCCAAGGTTAAATGAGGAAAGGTTTATTGAAGCTCACAGTTTGTAGAAGTTTCAGTTTATAGTTGGCTGGCTCCAAGGCAGGGTGGCATGACAGAGGGAAATCACAGAGGAGAAACTGTTCATGGTAGGCAGAGGGCAGCAAAGTAGCAAAACACCAAGCAACAAGTGACAAGTGACCATAGCAGCCCTCTTTCTGTACCTTATTTACTGTCCAGGCAGGTAGCACTCACATCCAAGGAGGGCTTTCCATTATCCACCTCAGAAATATGCCAAACCATTCAGTGGACTAATTTAGTAATTACACATCCTTGATCCCAGCATCACACACTCTAGAGCCAGCCACCTCGGAAAAGTCCTACCATATGAGGCTTTGGGGGGACATCTAGATACAAGCCATAACATACCTTTAGTGCAGGTTACCCAGTGCCTGAATGCCAAATTCTTCCCTCATTTTTATTAGTGTATATTTGTTATACAGATCAATGAGTTTCATTTGGGCAGGAATGTATGTGTACATAACATACTTTAATCGGCCCCCATCATTCCCCATATGCTAATTTTGATCTTATACTTCAGTTATCCTTTTCCATGATACTGAACATTTGGCTCTTGGAAGAAAGTAACTCTTAGTATTGCTCTTTGGTTTGTATATATGATTCATTTGCAAACCAGTTTGCCATTGTGGCTGTCAGAACTTGGCATAATTTAAATGTTTGAGGTGGGTGATTGAAGTGCTTGAATGAACTTATCTTTCCATGCAACTGCTGATGGCTGACTAGAGATTATTTTAAAGAAAGAATGTTCTCTAACTCAGCAGTGTAATATAAGAAATATGACATATGGTATTCTGCCTAAAATTAAAATATGTAGAAATCAGAAATGTATTATAGTATATCAGTATTATGCTCATATTAATATAGGCTGAACTTTGGTTTATTTATCTTTTAACAAAATGACCCAAGATGTATAAATTACTTTATTTCATAAAAACTGACATGTAAAGTTGCTTTTAATTAGAACAGTTCTTTTTCGGACTTAACCATTAGTTGTGGCTGTCATTGGTTTGCTGCAGAGTGCAAGATATCTACTGTATTAAACTTCATTTAAAACCACAATATTCTTACTAGGCTTGCTGGCATCACCTGTAAGTCCAGCGTTTGGCAGGCTGAGGCAGGAGGATCACCTCAAGTTTCATGTCAGCCTGAGCTACATAGTGAGTTCAAGCCTGCCAGAACTACATAGCGAAGCCCTATTTCAAAAAATCAGAAAAACACCCCACAGTATCCTTGATGCCATTTTATTACAATTGATACTTTACTCTTTGGTGCTTAAGAGATCATACTTGGAGGCAGTGCTTTTGCATAAATATTAAGTTAAATATTCTGGTTTCATAATATTAGTTTGTTAATGTTTGCTGTTTCACTTCACCTCTGTGAATCCTACCAATATTTCTATGCCAAACTGAAGATTATCAAGCTTGATGACAGTTTATTTTATCCTGGTAGCTTAATTTATGGCATTTTCAACATGGTTTATCATGTGTATTTTCTTTTCCTTTGTGCCAGTTAGCTGTGAACAAGTATGCCTTCTGTACTGGCTCTCCTAGAGGGCAATGACTGCCTTTTGGGCCTCTGTGTATCTTTTGTAGCACCTTTCACAAGTATATATCTAGCCCTTATATTTTTAGCAAGTATTTATTGAAGTTGTTGATCCCTTCAATTTTCTAAATTAGACTTATGAAACCTCTGAAAATTGTAGTTTAAGTGACAAATCGAGCAGTAGTCCATGATGGTTAAGTCTCTATAGGCAACATTGCCCAGATTTGAATACCTACTTCATTATGTATGAATTATGGAGCTACTTAACTTGTAAATAAGAATGTTGGCATCAACCTCCTAAATTTATGAATGAATTTTAACAGAAATAATTTCTTAAAACAGTTATTGTAGGGCCTTACATATAGGATATACTCAATACAACGTAGAAGTTTTGCTATATGGAATACTATAGAGCTAGACCTTAAGCCCCTTGAGGGCTTGTCTTTTGGTCTTTATGTATCAGGCACCTAATCTAGTGTGTAGTAAATACTCAATAAATATGCTTGCTTGAGTTGAATTGATTGATTTACCCTATTTTTATCTTCCATTACAGCCCACTGTTTGTAACATGGAAGATTGGTCGAGACAAAAGATTGCGTGGATGCATAGGTACTTTTTCTGCCATGAATTTGCATTCAGGACTCAGGGAGTACACACTTACCAGGTGAAGACCAATTTTTGTTACCTCTGCTTCTGCATTAAAGAAAAAGATTGCAAAACTTGAGCCTGATATTTTAACTCCTTTTCCTTTACTGAACTGTCGCCATTCTTGCCTCCTTTCATGTCAGGGTTTCCTCCTATTTGACTAATTACTTTATCTCTCATAAAATGTTATTAATATGTTATTATAATACAAAACATTGTGATTATATGTATTTTGCAATAGATGTTTCGAAGTGTTTCTTTCTTCTAATGGTCAGGTTATTCTGTATTACTTGAAAATCAATGACGAAATGTCCAGGGGTTACCAAAAAATTTCCTTAACAGCCATCATCGTTTCTCCCTTTCAAACCTTTTAAGAGTAGTTTATGTCTTTCATCTTACAAATTTTGTTACAGTTTTAAAAATACACTTTGGAAACTGAATGGAGAACCTAGGAAGAAAGTGATGTCACAGCCTGGAAGCATAACCATTCACATTCGCACTTTACCCCAAATCAATGGTAGTGCTTATTTTGTTTCATCTAACATAAAGACAACGTAATAAGTAACTCATTACACTTGTTAAGACTTTGTTCTTAATTCCGAACTCAAGCTATCAAGCATGCCTTCAGAATTTTGTTCAAGTTCAGCTTTCTAGCAAGTTGTATTCCAAAATTATTTCACATACGAAAATTTCTTAAATAATAAGCTGTTAGTGAAGGAATTTCCCATTTTTGTTTATATTTTACTGTGATTATCTGACACAACATCTGTAGTTGTAATATGTACAGTGTCCACCTAACAAGAAATTATTCTTTCCTAACTATTGGTGCTTGGGGCAAGTTTTAACTTCCATAAATAGAGTAGTAATTCTAGTATTTTGTTCTATATACTTAATAGGGATGTTAGGAGAATGTTAGAATGAAATAATAACTACTTTGCTGCAGGATTAATGTTGTGAAATATTCATTATTTTACTGTAGAATTGCATAAATGTAGGTTTATGGCACCAGTTAATAAAATACTGTAACTGAATTAAGTAACTTCACATTTGAAGGTGTATAGTAGCTTATAGTTGCAAGTTTTTCTTATACTGTGGTGAAGCCCAGAAAGAAAAGCAGTGTTGTAGATGGGTAACATTCGTTTTTAACTTTTCTTAGGTATTAGAAATGGAGTGTTTGGAATTGATTAAATAACATACAGGCTGTAAGGGGTCGAAATGCATATCCTGGAAATAACTATAGCTTTTCAAAGAGAGTATAAATGCTAGCCTAGGTATGTTAGATTTTTTTTTACATGAAATACAGTGGGCTCATTTTGAAACTTTAGCAAATTCTGCCAGTGACTATCTTTTTGAGACAGATAAAGATGAAATTATTCATCTAATAAATAATGATATGCAATTTATTGTATATTTCCTAGAAAAAAATTGTTCGGATCAACACTGGTTCCTTGGCATTGCCTGAAATAAAAATTCTGTGGCCAAGTAACTTTTTGAAATACTGAGTAAAATATGTAAACAGCTCTATTCATTGCAGAACTTCTCAGAACCTTTTATGTTAGTAGCGTTATGAATCTCTAGTACTGTAGATATAGAATGCAGTGTTTTCCTGACTTTAGCTTATTTAACTACAGTTCCCTCTTTTTCCTCTCACTCCAAAGTCTTATGTTATTAGTATGCCAAGGAATACTTTTTTGGAAACACAAGTCTGTTACTAAGTTTGATGTTTACTTTATATTCGTGTAGTAAAAATACATATATTTGATACTGTAGAAACCCTCGTGCTTCCTAGGAAAATAGTGGCAGAAATACCATTATCAAATGGCATATAGTTTAGAAATCTTTAGTAGTAGTAACTGGTAGCAATATGGTTTTGTTAAAAAAATTATTTTGTCTACATTTGTAAGAAATGATGAGACTATCCAACTTTTCTGGACCAGTGGATTTATCCCCAAGGGTAACTACCAGAAGAATTACAGTATTTTTTTCTGACAGTAATGCGATCTGAGTGAATTGTTCAAAGAGTCAAACTTGGAAATTTGCCTACATTTGTACACTTTATTACTGTCAATGTCTGTGGCTCTTCCTACCTACTTTTGAAGTTTTTCTCTCATTTTCTATGCAGCTTCCTCAAATTGTATATGGCACATTAAAGAGGAATCTTTGTATACACACAGATTCATACACATATCTAGCTTTACTCTTCATTTTTGTTTGGTTTAATATTTTTAAAAGTGTATTAAAAGTCAAGAGATGAACAAAAGAAAATGAGTGTTACAAAACATAATTTGTCTTTCTTTCATACCTTTACTTTAGAGTTACAAACTATGGAATCATTTTAAGACATTTCAATATGAAGTTTTTGGCCAAGGATATAGCTCAGTGGAACAAGCACCTGCCTGGCAAGCACAAGATCCCAAGTTCGATTCCCCATACCAAAAAAAAAAAGGTGCACAGTATAAAGATTTTCAATTCAACACTGTGCTTATTTCTACATATTAGATGTTGGTATGACTTTTTAAAAGCTAATATTAGGGAATTTATTTTATGTCAAGCATTGGTGAGGAGTTTTATATGCACAGTTCTCACAATAACATTTAGGTATCCACATTTGTAAAATGAAGAAACTGAGATTAAAGAAATTAAATAATTTACCCACTCATATCTCTAGTAAGTGGTAGAACAAGGATTCAATCCTGGACCTTGTAACTACAAAGTTCATGTTCTTAACTGCTATGCATCACACCACTGTCATAATCAAGCTGTATGTTCTCCCTAATTGAAAAGTTGAGTTACTTTAGATTGTGGTAAGACCTTATAAATAGTAAGACAAGATAGAAAAAGTTCTTATAATGTATATTTGTAACTGCATCATGAAATAGTAAGTTTGAAAATGGATTATTGTAAATTTTATGAATCATGGACCAATAATTCTTCAAAAATTCTACTTAGGAGTTAAGATTGAAATTTTAGAACATTGGTTAAAATTTTTAAAAAATCCATAGATGGTAATATAATTCAGCATAACATAGACTAGTCAGAATAAAGTTGATTTGGATTAATACTGTATAACAAGAAAATGCTTATTACAAAAATATAGTACTATATGATATGAAATTGTATTTTTTTACTATATAGCCTAGACTTTAAGAAGAATACAGGTTTTATGAACATAAGAATTGGTGGTTCTTGGAGTCTAGTCTTCCCTTCATAAAACCCATAACACCCAAACTGAATAAATTGAATCAACTGAACTTAGGATGCTGAGAATTTAAAACATGAAAAAAGCAAAACAAAAAATAAACAGAGAAATTACTCTGTAGGGTCATGTGCCTTTTAGGAATATTAAGATATTAAGTTGCTTCCTTTCTTCATCTGTGATTAGATAGACTAATGTTGAGTTTTTAGAATGTTATTCTACTATTATAGACATTTTAAGTGTATGGTTCTATGGCCTTAAGGACATTTACACTGCTATACAGCCATCACCATCATCCATCTCCAGAACTTTTTATTTTCTTTAACTGAATCTCTGTACCTATTAAATAAAGAATATGCTGCTCACCTTTCCCAGCCCCTGGCAACCACCATTCTAATTTCTGTCTCTATGAATTGGACTACTCCAAGTCCCTATTTGTCATTACATAACTGACTGATTTCACTTAGCATAATGTCTTCAAGGTTCATCCCTATGGTAGTGTATGTCAATTTCCTTCCTTTATAAAGGCTGCATGATAACTGCGTGAGAGGGGAGGTGACAGGAGGGGGAAGGTAGAGACAGATTGAGATTGAGAGAGCTTGCTTATTTAGATATCCATCTGTGGACTCCTGGTTGACTTTCACCTTTTGGCTGTTGTGAATATGCTGCAATGAATTTAGACCTATAAATATTTGAGTATACTTTCTTGTTTTAAAATTTAGTCATTTATAGGAAACAGTGATTGAGTTTGTGACCCCTTAACCACTAAAACCTTTTTTTAAAATAATTTACCAGTTACTTTAAAAATGAAATGTCTATGCTGGATTTAGTTTTGATGTATAAGCAGACTACTTTAAAGTAAAACTACTTAATATCAATTTAGTCTGATTTTGTGCTTTCCTAATTGAAATTTTATTTTAGATTGAAGTAAGACTTTATAAATAGGCTAAAAGTTTCTTTCAAATTGTGAGAATACATATTTTCTATGTAAATGGCATGAAAACTTTGTGAGAATTACAATATGGAACGACTTAGTAGATTACATTTTCCTGTCTTTAGGGGCTCTCCGTAAAAGCAGGAAAGATTATAGCAAAGAAGAAGCCAGATGGAGAGCTCAGAATCGTTGACAAAAGTTTACCCATAAAAGCTGGAGACAAGATACACAATTTACTGTACATTGTCAGTGCAAGACTTCAAAGTACAAATGTTGTTTGTTGCAGTTGAAGAAGATTAATGCCTTCTAATTCCAATTGTAATTCCAATTATTTGCCAATAATTTCTCATATTTACTTGCATTTGAGTGTTATGTGTTGGAAAGCACAAAGATTTATTTTTCTCTCTTTTAGTACTTAGAAAACATTTTTATACAGAAGAAAATTGTGATTAATGAAGGTGAATACAAACATCTCAGTCAAGGAAAATCCCTTAAAATTTTGGCTAATTGTCTTACAAAGTGCAGATTTATTTCTTTATGTAAATTCAAATTGGCAGTAATTTTCTACAATATATAAGTGATTAATAGATTTGTTGTTGTTTAGTAAATATAGGAAAGTGGTCTCTCACGAAAGACAGTCTCCCCTGACTTCTCAGTTCTTTTGTTGTTCTCACACCTCTTGGCAGTGAGATAATTATTCAAGTGCTGACAGTATCTGAGCTTGATTCTGATCTATACTGCTTTTGTTGCACTGTTTAATTCTAAGAAATTAGCAGTGGAGTTTTTGTCCTTTCTAGGAATAGGATAACCACATAAAAGTAGTGTGTGTGTGTGTGTGTGTGTGTGTGTGTAAGACAGAAACAAAGAAAGGGAGAGACAGGAAAGGAAG